GCTTTCGTTCAAGAATGGACGCAAACGTATGCTCAGTGGACCAGAAACCACAGAGCCTTCGCCAAGACCCTCCACGATGTCTACAAGATTATCAAGTTTTCTAAGTTGCTAGCGACTCACAAGAACAATTGCGACGACATAACTGAAGAATTCGGATTCATGGTCGCGTTCCGCTATGACATGGAGGTTAGAAGCAACACTTTCTCTCACCGCATAACGGATGAAGATGTCAAAAACGCAATCCCAGACATATCTCAGCGGAAAGAATCGGTCGTCGAGCAATGTTACAACACTTGCAGAAATTTCGGCGAGCTGGAATGGGAGGAAAACCTCTATGCTCCGGGGTTTTCCCACAGTAACCACGACCCTTTGACCGGGTATCTCAGACCTTCTAGAAACGGCGCCGGCTTCCAAACATCGCAACATAGCAACGCCATGATTGCGAATCCAAACTCTCATGGTCAGAATTGGATGAATCCTCCCGTCAACAGTTATATGAACGGGGTTATGTACGGAAACCAGAACTATGGTCAACCCCAGGGTAACAGATTCATTCATGCACCTAACAACCAAAACCAAGGTTTCCAAAACGGCGCCAAAAGACCGAGAGGTGGTTACAAAGGAGGGAACTATTCAGATAACTTTGGGGGAAAGGTAGAGGGAAGCCAAGCAAACGGGAGAAAGAATAATAGCAATAAGTAGGTGCTGTACCCTACTGTCCCCAGACCCCTTGTTCCGCTCATTCCTTAGTCCATTTAGGCCTTTAGGCTTGCCTCTGTCCTCGCCAATCAAATTGGTTCTGAAATTTTCTTTTGTACTGTCATGTACCAATTGCGAAGCGATATTATAAATAGTCTGTTAGGATTGTTGTTAATACACCATCCTGTTTCTCCCTTTTTCTACCATGCCCTTTGTTTCCCCTTCCCTTTTTCTCCCGTGTTCCTCTCACTCTTTTAGGAACTCAGCAGATGAATACCCAAAGAATTCAAAGCGCTCGTTCGCGCAATTCTCCAATGCTCATGCAAGTCCTTACTGGCCAGGTGTGGTCAGATGTGAAATGAACCTAGACCTCTGGGAAAAAGCCCTAAAAGGAGCGGGCATTCTGGCAAATTATCAGGATGTCTTGGTCGGCTTTAAGCACGGTTTTCATCAAGGGATTCCAGTCCACAAGATAAGGGGCTTATCCTGGTTCACACCCGACAATCATTTATCAGCAACTTTAGCAGAAGGGAAAATCAAGGAGTCAATGTCAAAGGAACTCGAGGCGGGCCGAATGTTTGGACCCTTCACGATGGACCAAGTAAAGTCAAAATTCAAATTTTTTAGAACGAGCCCTTTGGGAGCGGTCGTAAATGGAGATGGGTCGGTCAGGCCAATAAACGACTTGTCTTTCCCCCACGGTAACGTATCTATACCGTCAGTGAATTCCTTTGTGGACAAGAAAGAATTTGAGACTACGTGGGATGACTACAATGTAGTATCATCCTTCTTCAGAGAATCCGAAGGCCCGCTACTCTTAGCCTTATTCGACTGGGAAAAGGCTTATCGGCAGATCCCAACTCACCCGTCGCAATGGCCTTATCTGATGGTAAAAGGACTAGACGGACTCTTGTATCTGGATACCAGGATCACGTTTGGAGGAGTGGCAGGTTGTGGGTCTTTCGGTAGACCAGCGGACGCGTGGAAGGATATCATGTTTGCCGAATTCGACTTAGTAAAGGTCTTTTGGTGGGTAGATGACAATCTTTTTGTCAAACGGCCAAACTCTAAGACGGAAATGAAAGACATCGTCAAAAGGTCCGTCAAACTCGGAGTTCTAACAAACTTGAACAAGTGCTCCGTGTTCTCTGAAGAGCAAAAATTCATAGGCTTTTTATGGAATGGAGTAGCAAAGACAGTCCGCTTGCCTGAAGAGAAATTGGAACAACGGAAGAGGCAAATCTTGGAATTCCTGGACACATCCAGAAAGTTTTCTTTTAACGAGGTGGAGGTATTAACAGGACGCTTAAATCATGTGTTGTACATGTTGCCACAACTCCGGTGTTACCTACGCAGCCTCTACAGATGGATGAGTGATTGGTTCGACCTGAACGCGAAACGCTATTCACCCAACGATGTCTTGCTCGATTTGGATCGTTGGATACATACATTAAATGACTTCGTCCACAGCCGGCTCGTATCCTCACCAGACCCTGTCGATATTGGTTGGGTAGGTGATGCATCAACAAGTTTTGGAGTAGGGGTTCTGATCGGGAAGTATTGGGCCCAACTCCGGATCTTGAAAGACCGGGTCAAGGGGATACAGAAGAGGAATATTGCTTGGCTTGAAACGGTTGCAGTCAGGGTCGGACTAATTATGCTAGATACGTTGGGTCGATTAAGAAGAGGGTCAAATCTGCTGGTTTGGACCGACAATACAACGACAGAATCGGTTATCCTGAGGAGGAAGTCTAGAGATACTGAGGTGAATGAAGAGTGGAAAGTAATACAAGACTTCCTAATCAAGCAAGAAGTCGACTTGACAGCGAGAAGGGTAAAATCAAAAGATAATATTGCTGATGAACTGTCAAGAGGATTGTCGGGAAACCTCAAAACAGAAAACAGGGTCTATTTCGAGATACCAAAAGAGTGGGATTCATACCTTTGCCATGCATAGCTCTAATGTAACCTGTACCAGTTGTAGGTAGCTAAATTGATCATGAACCCGTCGCCGTTTGGGCTCCTTCTGTTTTATTTTCTGTGTCCGTTTTCCTCTTTCCATTTTTACACTTCATTATTCTCGACTCAAATACTGCATCCAAATCACAAATAAGGCTTTCTTTAAACCAACAATTATGATAGATTCATCGAACGACGTAGTTATTATGGGTAGCGAACCTTTGACAGTAGGCCATTTGAATAAAATCAAGGCATTCGCAGCTAACGGCACAGTAGCTTATCCAATATCGACCTTGAACGCACACCTCTTGACAGGATGGAAATGGAATACTCTCGTCGGCTATAATGCTGCAGTAAAAAAGTTCATTTTCTTTAAAAATCTGTCAGGGGATCACCGATTTAAATTACCGGCGACAGTTAAAGACATAGAGGACTTCTGCTTTTGGGCAGGAAGGAAACTTTATCTCAATAATTCATATAAGATATCTTCTGGTTCAATTAAAAAATATTTGTGTGGTCTGAAAGCGTGGCACACATTTCATAGCGAAGTTTACCCAGACATATCGGATAAAAGGATCGAACTATTACTCAAAGCGTCAGCTAAAGTCGACGCAAACTTACCTACGAAACCGAAAAAGCCACCAATCATGTTGAAACATCTGATCTGGTTATCGAACACGATGTTCCCGGGTGGTGATATAGATAGGACGATCATGGACCTCGCAATTGTTGCTTTCTGGGGGATGGCGCGTTTAGGCGAATTGACTTACGAAAAGACGATGGGCGACCTTAATAATCAAGACTCGGTTCTAACGTCAGACGTCCGGATATTACAATCGGCTATTGGAGAGAAAGTGATACTTACTATACGAAATGCAAAAACGGCTCAACCTGGGAAACCTCAAGAAATCATACTACATAGCTTAAAGAATATGCTATGCCCGGTGTTAGCCATAAGGCGACGATTACGAGAAGCAAATGGAGAAGACACGTCTTTGTTCGGTTTCAATCGCGATGGGGAACGAAAACACATTACCCGGTCGATTGCGGTAAACCGGATCAAACTGGTGCTCAGAACTGGTGGTTTCGAAGGCCTTTTCGGGCATTCTTTCAGAGTTGGTGGTGCATCTTTGCGTTACGCGTTGGGGACACCGGTAGATGAAATCTGTCTCCTTGGGAGGTGGGTTTCTAATTGTTATAGGCTTTACATTAGAGCATACAGCGAAGAAGATACAGTAGAGAGCAAGAAAATCTTAGAAGAGCTGAACGAGTTGTGGTGCGAGGATTAATTTGTGTAACTGTCTATGATGAGTAGGAGAGATAGGTTTAAGTCACTGGGCTCAGGCTCCTATCATCAATAGAAATTTCCACCTGAGTTATCAGGCGCATTTGTTTCTTAAACCTACTTCTTCAAATTATTTTTTAGTAAAATTACTAAAAATATAAATAGACTCAAAAGAAAGAAAAAAGAAAATAATTTTTCTTCTATACACTATAATTATTCCCCGTGGTCCCTAAATATCTTTTCCCTTTTGTTAAAAATAAATCATTTAAAAAAGAGCAAAAGAAATTTATTTACCACCCACACTCGGGTAGATGGAAGAACTTGTTCTATATCTACCCTAAGGAATGTGCTGCGGCAAATTCCTGAAAAAGAGTACCACAGGAATGATCAGAGTGCTAAATGGAACACATAGACCCTATATTCAAAATTGACCAATAATAGGACAACACCTTTATTTTTGTAGATTTAAATATGATGCCTTGAGAATGGAAAGAGTTTGTAGATCTTACCAGAGAGCTTGTGATGATTCCCACCTTTTGTTGCATTTCAATTTCATGATTGATTGAAAATTCATTGAACTATTCTTCCTCAGGTTTTCTTCTAAAAGTCCTCATATGTAAGGGTTGAGTTCCATGCACTGATCCTGGGACTGAATGGAGAATTGGGAGATGATGTGTTGGCCCAAAGCTATTTAGAACCAAACTGATGGGGATTTTAATTCAAATTATAGATAGTTGAGAGGAGAGCTCTTGTAAGTACAACCATCATAGTGAAATTGAAAGAGAAAAAAAAAAGAGAAGAAACAAGGGTGGTATATTGCTTACCTAGGCGGTTGAGAGAAGATCTCTGCCCTCCAGGTAGAAGAGAAGGATCAAGGCTAAATACAAAAAGGCTTTCTTAGGTAATCAGCCTTGTGAAAACCAGGGGAGGCAGGGGTTTCCGGCTCAACTATGGATTAATATGTTGAGCTCAAGGAAATATTCCCTTGGAAGATCAAGAGTTCTCTGGAGTGAAATTCCCACTAGTCTATGTATCACACCAAAAAGTATCTTGATGAGGCAATGGTACACCATTATCATGGCACAACTACTTCAAAACTGTTTGCTATTAGCTGACACCTAGCAATGGCCTTTTTGCTGCTTGCACTTAGTCACAAGTCATTTTGAAATTCCCAACCATAAGAGGGAGCTGAGGGAGGATCCCCAATTCATCCTCATCAAGAAATTTACACTCAACTACACCACAAAAAATTTGTGTCTCTTGCTGATGAGTGAAATCAAGAGACTACATGTTTAACTTGGTTCATCATAAACTTGAAGCTTGAATAACACACATGCATATTGAACTAGTAGAAAAAGGGTGGACACTTAATAAGGTAATGTTCCCAAAAGCCTCAGTGAAGGCTTCCCCAAAGCCTCCTTGATTTCACTTGCTAGCAAAAGATGTTCAACTTTCCATCACCAGGGGAGCTTTGGGGGCACTCCCCAGGGAGTGCCTTATCTGTAACATTTCATGTGACTGTGTCTAATGTATAGTATTTCATTAACATAACCAAGTGTGAATGGTTTTTGAAATCAGGTAGAAATCCCAAAACCCAGCTGGTACTCGTCTGAAAATCTGTTGAAACTAAACTGGACCACATAATACAAATTGGCTACAAAGTTTTTTCATCAAAGTGGAAAGAATTGATCCAACACTTTTCATACCAGGGGGGGGTACTTCCAGCTGAATGGGGCCAGAAATGTTCCACCCTCATTTAATGTTTGGACATATTCCTCTTGTGATTGGTGTGTGATATGTCACCCTATTGTACGCAAGTACAATAGGGTAACAAATCATAGACTGTTCTGAAGAGGAGGGGAATGTCCAGCTGAATGGTGACCAGATTTTGCCCCCCTCATGTGCCAATGGACAGGCCCCTCTGGTGTGGAAAGTGTGTGATTGGTGTGTGATCTGTCACCCTATTGTATGCAAGTACAATAGGGTGACAAATCATAGACTGTTCTGAAGAGGAGGGGCATGTCCCCTGGGTGCACTGAGCTGGACATGGCCCTCTGATGTGAAATGTGTGTGATATGTCACGGGATTGCACTTGAGCCCAATACCTTTCATACCAAAGGGGCATGTCCATCTGAAAGGTGTCTGAACTGTGACACCCTCATGCAACTGGTGGACATTCCCCTCTGGTCTGAACAGTGTGTGATATGTCACCACATTGCGCTCAAGCGCAATCCAGTGGCATGTCACACACTGTTCACACACAGTTCAGACCAGAGGGAAATTTCCAGCTGGATGAAGCCCAAACTGTGTCACCCTCATGTACACAGGGTACATGCCCCTGTTCTGAACAGCATGTGATTTGTTGCAATATTTTACTCAAGTACAATATGGTGACAAATCACACACCTGCCACAAGACTTTCAGACCAGAGGGCATTTCCAGCTGAATGGTTTGTGAATGGTGTCAGTCTCATGAACCCAGTGAGCATTGCGCTCTGGTCTGAACAGTGTGTGATGGGTGTGTGATATGTCACCAGATTGCGCTTGAGTGTGATGCGGTGACATATCACACACTGTTCAGACCAGAGGGGAATTTCAAGCTGAATGGTGTCTGAACCATGTAACCCTCATGTATGGTATTTTAATTGGCAATGTAGAAACAAAATTATGACTGAGTTGAACTAGAATTCAGCATAGCTTCAACAAATGTGACTGATACTTGGCATTGGATAATTACATATTGTTTAACAAATATATTGTGTTATATAATGAAACAGTTCAACAAAAACGTAGTAATGACTTCAAATGAACTTCAGACAAAAAGCCACAAAACATTGAGCTATGGCACTCCCTAGGGAGTGCCCCCAAAGCTCCCCTGGTGCATGGTGCTAGAACCTGAGAAGCAGACCCACACCCTTCTCTACCAGGTGGAAACTTGAGACTAATGAGATCCACTTGTTTGAGATTTATTTTGGATCAGACGGAAGTGAATTATTAAAGCCCTGGTGCTATGAACCACAATTTCCTACACACCAAGAAGAGCTGCAAACTCAAGTATATGGTGGCCAAGATCATCAGCAATTCAGATTTTATGATCATTTAAAGCCCACTAAACACTCCACCACAATTATCAGTTAAATATTAATTGGCCTAAAAATGAACCAGGAGATAACCCCCAAGAGAACACGATCAACACTCACCTCAAGGCCAACCTGTTCAACAACAGATCTATTGAAAAAAAAAGGAAACCCCCAATGGTGAAAGGTACACAAAACTTTATCACCATTCCAATCTGCCATGCCATTCTTCCTAACCTTTGTCTTGGTTTTTTAATTCAACTGTTTCCAACATGATAAGAGCTTACTTTTGATTGGTAGGATCATCATGTGCAGTTGATAGAATATTCTCTGTAGAAGTAGATGTATGCAGCAGTAATTTTGGGCACTTGATTGCTTCAACAATGTCCCACTGCATCAAAATTCTCATGTTGCTTCACTTCAGGAGGGATTCCCCCTAAAGGGTCCTATTTCAAATCTGGGAGGTTTTGAAAACATTATTAATTTTCTTTTCTATCACAGTTGTTCCTTGTGCCTTAAAAATACTAGTTTTGATATACAAAATGCATGTCCAGTGTTGGGACTGTGAAACAAAGAACCCTGTTGTAACCAGAGTACTGTAATTTCAAAAAAAAATGAAATAAATATTATTCCACAAAGTAGCAGGCACCCATATGGTTATCATTACCAATATTGGCCAAAAGATGATATGTTACACATGCAGGTAGCATAACTACCCATTTTTGATCCAAATAAATTTCCCTCTCAAGCTATGTTACTCCATTCCCACAATGTAAGCCCCAATATTAGCATATATGGCCTAGATTTTCTACCATGCATCAAAATCAAGTGTGGCATATTAGGACTACAATTTTAGATGGGCACCTCTAAAAAATGCAAAGAAAAATCTATGATGACAGAACACTCAAACTTCAAATCCTAAAAAAAACATTACTATTATTTCAAGTGGAAAGAAAAGCAGAACATATTTGCAAATACAGATTTATTAAGTAATCACAAGGTTGAAAAATGTCTTCCTATTTTTCTCTAATTTTTTCAACCTGTTTAGATGTGTATAATTTATTGAATATTTATTTTCAGAAGGCAGAAAAACTTTTCTATAGCTATTATCAAGGTTATGTGTTAATTTGGAACTAAAGTATGAAATGGCCTACTGGAGACTACATGAAATCTTGAGTTGATTGAGAAATGAGAAGGCCATGAGAGCTATGCTTTTTGGGTTTGGTAAGAAGTGTTTTCAATTCATCAATCTCATCCACAGATCAGTGCTGTCCACCCTCAAAATCTCCCATGAATTTTGCTTTTTCTGCATGCTCTTTTACTTTGAGCATTTCCATTTTTGAATTGGCATGCTGAGCAGCTAGGAAATGTGCACGTGCAATGAACTTGGGGATGCTTTCCTATTTTTAAATGATTACAAAATTAGTCAGTGCAGTGATCCATGTTTCATTTTAAAAGATCTACTGGCTAACTTACCACTTCACATATCTTTAAAAACTCCTCAATCTGACTGGGAGAAAGAGTGCAATATTTTCTGAAATTATCAAGCTGGTTGAGTTTTGCAACATGTTTGTCTGACTCCTCTACAAGGTCTGCATCCATCATGAAATGTGAGCAATTGCAATTAATAACATATGAGTCTTTTAGTTTTTTTGTCTACTTTCATGGTCTATGTCTTGTGAACAATCTATGATGTTTGCATTTCAGTTTCATTTTGATTAAGATTTCAAACCAATTATCTCCTTAAAACATATGGTTAGTTCATCACCAATTTCAATTGTCTCCCATTCATTCATGGTCAAGAGCTGTGTTTTGGGAACAATATAGTAATATACATTGGGTCTGCAGGAGTGAAATATCTTCACATTCGTGGAGTGATGTAGAGAAAGATTGAATTGAATGAAGGAGCAGACGCAGGAGTAGTAGAA